CCTAGACCCTAAACCCCTGAACCCCTAAACCCCCTAGACCCTAGACCCTAAACCCCTGAACCCCTAAACCCCCTAGACCCTAGACCCTAAACCCCTAAACCCCTGAACCCCAAACCGTGCACGGGTTTCATTAACTTCGGCCCAAGGTTCAGGAGCCTTGGGCTTCAGCCTTGCCAAAAGCGGTTTAGGGTTTAGGGTTTAAGGTTTAGGGTTTAGGGTTTAGGGTTTAGGGTTTAGGGTTTAGGGTTTAGGTTTAAGGTTTAGGAGGTTTAAGGGTTTATAGGATTTAGGGCTTCGGGGGTTTAGGGATTTAGGGTTTAGGGGGGGTCTAGGTTTAAGGAGTTTAGGGTTTAGGGGGTTCCTGCTTAATTAAGGAGTTTAGGGTTAAGGGGACCCCACCAAGCAACTTGAAGAGTGCAAGTTCTGCACCCCAAAGCCTTGCAAAGGCAATCCGATCTACAACGGAGTGGCCGGCGCTTTCGCCGGGGCCGTGTCCGTGTTGGCGACCATGCCTCAGGCATCTTGTCCTTAGAGGGTCTTGAATGTAGGGTTTAGGGGTTTGAATTTAGGGTTTAGGGTTTACAGAAGTTTGTTTCGGGGGCTCGGGGTTTAGGCCTTGAGGGTTCGGTGTTGACGATGTTGGGTCTGTGCAGTTTGCCTAGGTGACAAATGTCTGCTTGATGATGCCTTGAAGCCGCTGCCCTGGTGGCTTCGAATTCAGGTGATATAGCCGGTGTAGCTATCAAGGACTTGTCAGGTCCGCAGCAGCATCCCAAGGATTGACAACCAAAAAAAGAAGAGCAGCAACGGACAACTGCCACAGTCGGATATCCAGGGATCGAGTGCAGCATTCAAAACCATGTCAGCAATGTAGTATAGCTGCCGGCAGCCTGAGAATTCATCCTCGTCTTCTTTGCAAGTGCGCTGAGCTATCGGTCTTTCAAGGGTCCTCAAACGAGCACGGCAGCCGGAATGCCAAATCCTATAATCCCGACTCCTGGAACTGTTAAGGGCTTTAGGGTTTAGGATTTACATATAGGGGTTAGGCCTTCTGAGCATTTCAGAATTCCGTATAACCCCGAAGCAGCTTGAACTGCCCGTCTACAGCTCGGCTGCGATGGCTCCACAATTTAGCAGCCGATGGAGCCACTCCAAAAGACACGCTTTAGAACACAATGCTGCAATCCAGGGTAGGTATGTAGCGAAGCCTTTCTTCGCTGGTGGCGACCTTTCATCTGAAAGACCCTGGTCCTGAAACTTGATACCACCCCAAAACCTTGTACTGAATCTTTTCAAGAGATAGGTCTTAGGTTTTATTGGTGTGCGCACACCGCACACCCTCGATCGAAGCGATTGAACCCAAAGCTCATCAGTGTAGCTACCCTGCAGGACACGGTCAAGACTCGGATGCAGGGAGAAGAGGCACGCAAACTGTACAAGAGCACCTTGGAGCCTCAAGCTGCATTGAGCTCTCGTGTCTGGTTCACTTCAGGGATCATGAAGGAGCTTCGCAGATAGGGGGGGGGGGGATCGGGTTGGGGCCGGCGGGGGCTGATGCAAGCCCTGATCTTCAAGAACCTGCTGCTTTAAGTACAAAACGCTCCTGATTCCGTTTATGGGGTCACAACCTTCTATCTCGCAGGATTTAGGGGTACCGGGACTGTTTAGAGTGCAGAATGACTGGACGACTCGTTACGGACCTATCAGGAGTTCCAAAAACGGGCTTGTCTTGAGGGATCCTACCGGTAAAAGCACCAAAGACAGATTCGATGGCAATTGTGTGCAGGAGGAGACGATGTCCGATGAATGTATAAGTGCCTAAACAAAGGGCCTGAATAGTTCGAACAGGGTTTGGGGTATATTATACTGCAATTAAGAATAAGGAACCCCCCATTACCCTAGTCTAACTTTTAAGGCCTCTACATTAGTGTTTAAGGCTTAGGGTCTGTGGTTTAGGATGCGGGCCCTGCGGTTGGGGAGTGTTCGTTGGCACGCAACCCAAGCCCATGCTGAAAAGGGTGCAGGGCTTTGGGTTTGGGGCCCGTGCCCGAATCATCACACAGTTTGCTGTTTAGGGCTTCGTATGCGAGTGTTTAATGGCTTTATGGCTTAGGGTTTAGGGGCGCTTTCACTATTCCTACTACAGGCTGTGGAAAGGTCTTACAGGGCTCAATCAGTTTCTGAAGCAGGGTTTCTACGAAGATTCGGTTTTCGTATTTGGGCTGATTGCCTTTCTTGGTGCATTTGTATGCCAACAGGAGATGCCACTAATGCCTGTAAACGACTACTGAGAGCTTGGCCGGTGGAATTTTATGACTTCGTGCTGCTGCTGCTTACACAGAGCTTGTTTTTGGGTAAGGGCTCAGGGCTGTAAGACTTCTTCGTAGAAACGATGCACATCTCAGTTCTAGCTGAGGACTGCGCCATGCAGATTATGCAGAAAGAAGGCACCCGACTGTGATCGCAGGTTTTTGTCACAGATGGGCGGCAGGGAGCAGTTGGTTTTTCAGCTATGTACCGGACATTATGAAGCTGTGGGATTTGTGTAGCCTATGATTTGCGGACATAGGCTACCTTCAGACTTGTTCACCCAAGTCAGCGGTAGTTGTTAAGGTGTCATTTTCGTTAGTTGGAACTGTGCAGGGTAGGTGATTCGGATTCATGTTGGGTGCGGGGTTCAGCCAAACGGTTGTAGGTACCTATGCCTATGTGGGGGTCTCTTGTGCAAAGGTTGCGGTCATTTCGACTGACTACAGAGGCCAAATTTGTGCTCTGCTTGCAATATAGGCCTGAATACAGAATATTGCGATTTCTCAAGGATCCTTATTAGAGCTACAGTATGATCTGCCCAGGAGCTTTCCGTTTTAATTTCTAGTAGTTCGGGTGGTGGTGGTGGTGGTGGTGGTGGTGGTGGTGGTGGTGGTGGTGGTGGTAGTCGTCGTCGTCGTCGTAGTCGTAATGGTGGTAGTAGTAGTAGTAGTAGTAGTAGTTGTTGTAGTTGTAGTAGCAGCAGTAGTCGAAAAAGTAGCAATAGGAACAGGAGGATGGTGGGAGACTAGTAGTAGCAGTAGTAGTAATACAAGGAG